CTCACAAACCCTCCAATCTCTCTCCAGGAAGGGGCACTCAGTCTCTACCCTCTGGGCACCCCCTTGCATTGTGGGATATCTTTGAGTTGAGACTGGACTCCCATGAATCCTTTGCCTCAACTTTGTCTGAGCTTTGCCTCAGGAAGCCAAGGAGGAAATCTCTCCCTTGTCTGCTAGGAAATTGGTGATTGATGGACAAGGAAGGGAGTTCCTTCCTTGTTTCTCTGCTGTGCTTTGCTCTAGGACCTTGGGTGAATCCTTCTGCTTCCTGGGCCTCAGCTGCCTCATCTGAAAAGTGAGGAATGGGTCAGGTTTCCTACAGATTTGCCCTCTCTGAATCTGGCATTTGAAGTCTCTTACCTCCTTTAATCTTTTCTTTCTGCTCTTTGGGGGCAAGTTTTTTTAGAGGGTGAACATGGGGGACCTCTCATCTCAGGAGTCACTCTCTTCCCCCAGAATTATGGCCTCTACCATCTAAAATTTGTATTAATACTTTTCCAGACTCCTTCACATACTTTCATATTCTGCCTCCCTGTTACTTCTAGGATGGAGATCCTAATCTCATATCACAGATGGAAAAAAGGATGGTGAGGAGAAGAGGCTCAGGTCATAGGTTCCCAGAGTCCTGTGGCTTGGCCATGAGGTGAACTGGCTGAGGTCTTTGGCTCAGGAATGCCCTTGGTGGGGAGAGAGGCTGTTCAAGAGGCTGCATCTCTGCCCAAAGGGAAGCTCACCCAAGCAGACAGTGGCTTGGTTACTTCCAGTGTTCTGTGTGTCCTCCCACCCCCATCCTTTAAAGCTCCAGGATGAGAAGACGTTATCTTTCATGAACAGAAGAGGGTCTGAAAGTTTTCAGCCCTGAGAAAACCTAACTTGGGCTGGGGGTGCTGGGAGTATGGGACACCAGGGTAGAGAGAGAAACCCTAGGCTGGAATTTTGAAGCAGGGCCCACACACAGATATGCCAGGTGACCCTTAGCAGGTCACCCCTTTTTCTGGAGTTCAGGGTCCTCATCTATGAAAGGGGAATGAAAACAGTAACCCCTCTATCCAGTGAGTCATGGTGACCCAATGAGGTCAGGGCCATGTGAGCCCTTGGAGAAATCAAGATGGAGAGGTTTTGATGGTTACAGTCATGGCCAATTATGGGCTTTGGACATAAATGGTCCCCAATTTATGATGGTTTGACTTACGATTTTTTTGACCTTTAAGATGGCAGGAAAGCAGCATTCAGTAGAAACTATATTTTGAGCACTCATGCAACCATTTTGTATTTTACTTTCAGTACAGTATTCAAAAAATTACAGGAGAAGGGTGGCGCCTGTGACTTAGTGAGTAGAGTGCCAGCACCATATACTGAGGGTGGTGAGTTTGAACCCACCCCGGCCAAACTGCAACAACAAAAAATAGCCAAGCATTGTGGTGGGCACCTGTAGTCCGAGCTACTTGGGAGGCTGAGGCAAGAGAATTGCTTCAGCCCAAAAGCTAGAGGTTGCTGTGAGCTGTGACGCCTCATCACTCTACTGAGGGTGACAAAGTGAGACTATCTCTGAAAAAAAAAAATTACATGTGATATTTAATACTTTTTTTTTTTTTTTTGAGACAGAGCTTCAAGCTGTCACCTTGGGCAGAGTACTGTGGCATCACAGCTCACAGCAACCTCCAACTCCTGGGCTCAAGCGATTCTCCTGCCTCTGCCTCCCAAGTAGCTGGGACTATAGGGGCCTGCCACAACACCCAGCTATTTTTTGGTTGCAGCCGTCTTTGTTGTTTGGCAGGCCCCGGGCTGGATTTGAATCTGCCAGCTCAGGTGTATGTGGCTGGCGCCTTAGCCTCTTGAGCCACAGGTGCTGAGCCCAAACTGTGTATTTTCATATTAGTTTTTTTTGACTTTATAAAAAGGACATCTTGCTCTGTTTAATTTTGGGGGAATTTTTCCCCATGTTTCATCTGTATTGTTGTCTGTTAGTATAGTTCAATTTGACAGCTTGGAATATTCCAGTGTACGAATATAGCGCAGTGTATTGATCTGCTGTCTTGTTGATGCTCATTTGGGTGTTTCCAGCTGTTTGCTAAGTGTCATGTGTGACTCCATGCACAACTCCAGGTACACATAGACAGAAGTGCTCCAGCCCAGAGCATGCAAGTGTTAAACGTTAGGAGACATTGTCAAGCTAGGATCGAATATCTCTTCTATATTTTCTGATCATCTATGTTTTGTTCAATATGAAGTGCCTGTTGGTACCTCTTACCCATTCTTCTATTGGGTTGTAGTATTTTTAGTACTTTATGAAATTTTTTCTCTAACTTTTCTATTCTCATTATTCCTGGTGGCTTAAGGAGGGCTGATAGTACTATCACTATTTTATAAGTAAGGAAACAGTCTCAGAGGAGTGAAAGTGCTTAGTCAAAGTCGCAGCCTCCCTTACAGCCCTTCTGCCCTCAGCTAAGGCCCTCTGTCTCCTGCTTCTCTCTCCCCAGTAGCCTTATCCCAGGCAATCAGGGACACTGTCTTAGACTAGGGCAGTGTTTTTCAACCTTTTTTGCCTTACAGCAGATGTGAACCTACTTGGATTTCATAGTTAAACTTCCATCGCACACTTAAGTTATGTCAATTAAAAAAGAAAAAGAAAAAAAGGAATATGCTTACTGTGATTTGAACTTCTTTTGAAAATAATTTAATTAATCTTTAAAAATTTTTGTAGCACACTTAAGATTCTGTCACAGCACACCAGTGTGCTGTGGCATACCAGTTGGAAATCATTGCGCTGAGGATTAGGTGCCAGGTAGGTGCTATCTGTCCTGCTTCGAATGGCATTTCATCGTCTCCTAACAGTCCCACACATCTAATCTCACTGTGGACAAAAGAGTCAAAGTTCTTTCTGTCCAATGGTCAGTCTTTCCAGCACCAACACCTTGAATGGATTCCCAAGGTGGGTTGGGCCTGGTTTCTGCACTTCCTAAGCCAGCTGCAAACATACCTCTGATACTACTATGGAGTTTACTTTTTCAAAGCCCTTCTCTGGATGACCCTACTGTCCAGCAGCCTTGGGAACTAGGCAGGACTAAAAGAAAAATATTATGTAATATTTTAAATCCATCCCCTCCCTTCTCTGTTCCCTGCCTTTCCCACCCCTCTACCTTCTGAAAAGGAAGGGTCTGCCGTGACTAGATCTTTTACTCACAGGGTCTGTGTGTCTCACCAGCAACTGAAGGCAAGCTAGATTGTTCTCCATGAGGAAAACAGATCTGGAAGGAGGGAATAAGGAGTGGGGGTGAAGTAAGGAGGTGGATGGGGGTGAGAAAAAAGGGCAGAGAGGATGAGGAATTGCAGTTCCCATTTGCTGCCTCCTCCAGAGACCTTCAATAAAGATACTGTTCCAAGGCATTTTAAGGCCCAGATCTCTTTTAAGATGCATCCATATAAGATGGCTTCAAAGCAGCCTTCTGGGCACCCATGGGTCAGAATGATGGACCTGAGAGGTCAGGGGAGGGACACAGCAGGGACTGTGTCATGAGACTTGTTAGCAGCCTTCCAGCCATGGGACCTCCATGTAGCAGCCTCCTAGTAGCCTCAAGCTGCTGACTTTTAGAATGAAGCAATGTCGCAGGGCTGTTTCCCATCACTTGGAGGCCCTGTGGAGGTACCCCAGGCACTGAGGATACCCCAAGGTGAAAGAGCTGCATTTGAAGAGGTGGGTGAAAAAAAAAGTGGTCTGGGGCTCTTCCTAGCCTTTAAAGCTCTGGCAACACCCCTCCACACACCCATTTATTTTATTTTTTAATTTTTTTTTGAGACAGAGTCTCAAGCTTTTGCCCTGGGTAGAGTACTGTGGCATCATAGCTCACAGCAACCTCAAACTCAGGCTCAAGCAATCCTCTTGCCTCAGTTTCTTTCATTTTTAGTAGAGACGGGGTCTCATTTTTTGCTCAGGCTGGTCTTGAACCCTTGAGCTCAAGCTATCCACCCGCCTCGGCCTCCCAGAGAGCTAGGATTACAGGCATGAGCCACAGCCCCCGGCCCCAACCCCCAGATTTAATTAAACTCACTCTTGCTTTATAGCCATGCTTAGTACACCAAGCCTCCCACCAGGAGCAATTCCACTCTCTCTGTTCTTTAAATTCCTCCAGGCTCCATCCCCACCTCTTCTAAAAAGCCTCCCTGATTCCTCCCACACATGAGGTCTCTCATCTGGCCTACTCTCATTCTTGTCTGGGGATGGCTATGAGAGAGCTCTTGTTTTCTCAGCTTTCACACACAGGACACGCATCCTCTGCGCCAGCCACAGGGCGCAGAGCCACACTCGAAGCTGGCCCAGGCTGCACTGTACTCCCCACTTCTGTCTGTGGAGTGCCTACTCAGCCTTTGACAGCTAGTTCAACAACTGGTTCAGACAGCTGGTTTAGATGTTCCCTCCTTAAAGAGGTCTTTCCTGACACCCTCTGGGTATGCCCCTCCCCTAGCTGTGCTTTCCGCTGTCACAGCCCTGATGATGTGTTAGTCTGAACATCCAGCAACTGGGAGGGGCTGAGGCACCAGAACCAACCCAGGCCTGAACAGTTTACTGAATAAAAGGAATATCACTCCTCCCACCACCAAGAACTCATAGTCATCCTTCAAAACCCAGCTCAAATGCCCTTTCCCAGAAGCTCTCACTTCCTCTTCTCATCTTCCCTCACCTGCTTTATTGGTGATTCCACAGCATGTAGCACACTTCTTGTTTACATTTCACACTATATTTTTGTGAGCAGCTTAACATAGTTTTACCAACTCTCCACAGCTGATTGGGGGCTTCCCAAGAGCCAGGCCCAGGCCTGTTTGTCTCTGTGCCCATAGAGCCTGGTGAGATTCTGGGATCTGTGAGGGAACTAACTCCATGCCCAGCTGAGCTGGGCTCTATAATTTTCTGCGTGGTTTGGGGTATGTGGGACTTCTGGTACCCTGGCCACAACGGCAAACATAGTAGCCACCCAGGCCCAAGGTGTCCTGCCGCAGTGGACTCAGCGACCCTGCCTCTGCCACTTGGCTGTGAGTTTCTGTATTAGCTCATGTGGTCGCTGGCGGAACTTCTTCTGGGTAAAGTAGAAGAGGATGGGGTCCAGCATGCTGTTGGCACTGGCAAAGGGCCGCATGACTTTGTAGGCAGCTGCGAAGGCCTCCAGCACAGGGCAGGGGACACCTGGTGTAGAGCGGACTGCCAGGTAGGCCGTCTTGGTGATGTGGAAAGGCAGGAAGCTGATGGCAAAGGTGGCTGCCACCACCACAGCCATGCGGGCTGCTTTAGTACGCCGCTCCTGGGCCACAGGCCCTGCCGGGCCACCCTGGCGGCACAGGCGGCGAGCCAGGAGACAGTAGCAGGCCAGCAGGGCTGCAAAGGGCAGCAGGAAGCCGATGATCGTAAGGGCCATGCCGTAGGGCATGTAGTGGGTGGCCAGGGCGGGTGGGCTCAGGTCATAGCAGACTGTGCGGTTACGCTGGATGCCTGTGGCGGCAAAGACAGCTGTGGGCAGGCACTGGGCTGTCACAGCGAGCCACACAGCTACACACACTAGCCAGGCAGCCCGGCAGCCCCCACGCTTGTGCCAGAGAGCCAGCGGGTGGCAGATGCCCAGGTAGCGCTGGAAGCTGATACAGGTGAGGAAGAGGATGCTGCCGTGCAGGTTGGTGTAGAAGAGGAAGCGCACCAGGCGGCAGGCGAGGTCACCAAAGGGCCAGTGGTCACCTTGGGCATAGTTGTAGATGAGCAGGGGCAGGGAGCAGCCATATAGCAAGTCAGCCAGGGCCAGGTTTAGGGTGTACACAGCCGTGCGGGTCAGGGCTCGGCGGGATGTGCAAATCTGGACAATGACACAGACGTTCAGTGGCAGGCCAGCCGCCAGCACCACCGAATACACTGGGGGCAGCAGCAGTCTCTTGAAGTTCTCATGGTAGACACAGTTGGTGGGTGGCAAGCCCAGAGCCCGGCCTGTGCCATTGTCCCACTCCATGGCTGCCCACCTGGGTTTCCTACATTTGAAGAGGCTGGGGAAACAATATACAGCCTGTCAGTGACATGCTTACTCACCACCAGAGGCCCCAGTCCTCTCTGGGCCTTGATCTCCCCATCTGAACAATGAGGGCACCGACTTTGTCATCTTTTATACTCCCCACTCCATGGAGGCCCCACACCGCTCTCGCTTCAAGGAAATGTGGACTACAATAAAGCTCAAACTTGGGAGAGATCCAGTTTACATTCTTTCTATAGTATTCCTTTCCCTTCGGACTTCCTAGTGAACTTCCTTTTTTTTTTTTTTAGAGACACAGTCTCACTTTGTTGCCCTCGGTACAGTGCTGTGGCCTCACAGCTCACAGCAACCTCCAGCTCTTGGGTGTAGGGGATTCTCTTGCCTCAGCCTCCCAAGTAGCTGGGACTACAGGCGCCTGCCACAATGCCCAGCTATTGTTTTTGGGTTTTTTGCTTTTTTTTTGGTTGCAGTTTAGCCTGGGCTGGGTTCAAACCTGCCACCCTCGGTATATGGGGCCGGTACCCTACTCACTGAGCCACAGGCGCCGCCCTTCCTAGTGAACTTCTATTCATTCTTCAAAACCCTGGTCATGTCTCCTTCTCTGTGCTAGTAGAAATCTATGGAATTGGGTTTCAATCCCAGCTGTGCTATGTATTAGCTCTGGGAGCTTAGGGTGGTAATCTACCTTCTCTGAGAAATGGGGAAGTGTTGCACCCACCTCTCAGGGATGTCATGAGGTTAGAAGCACTAATCATGCTATGCAGAGCTGCCCCTGGGCCCCTGGGGTGTGGAGATAGGGTTCTGTGTGTTTCTCTCAGACTGGGAAACTTCTGAGGAGAAATATCAGGTCTGGTGTCTCTCTGTGTCTTACAGCCCAGCCCAGGGTACAGGACAGAGAGGGCCCTGATACCTTTTAGTTAACCAGTAGAATGGTCCTCATATCATGAGTCCTCTGAGGAGTCTTCATCATAGCCCAAACTCTGCCTTCCAAAGCCAAGGCCCTGCTTTTGGGCACAGTCTTGCTTTCTGTGTGATAGGGATTAGAAGGAGGTGATTCAAGAGTTCCCTAAGGCCTCCTTGCATGTGTCTGTCACAGCCACTGGCACCACAGCCACACTCCCTGTTGGCCAGAGTAAGAACAGTTTCTTTGAAAGCAAATGGGTGAGGCACCAAGGCAGCAGGTTACTTCACAGAGAATGAAATGCAGGCAGCGTGAGGGAAAGGGACTACTCAATATTTCTCTGTGGGTTGGAAGCAGAGTCTAGACCAGACCCAAATGCCTCACCCAGAGGAGGCAGCTTAGTGTAGCTCACAGACATGGGATGTAGAGGTTACATACCCAGCCCAGAGCTAGGCAGGCCTGAGTTCAATTGTTGGCCCTCTCTCTTCTAGGCTGTATGATAACCCAGGTCATGTCACACATCTTTTCTGGACTAGTGTCCTCATCAGTAAAACGTGCCATGGGTCTGACATTCAGGTGCTTAATATGGGCCATGCCATTGAAACCTACACCTTGTCTTGTGACCTCCTATCCTTTCAGGCTGAGTTCTGGGGGCACCAGCAGCACAAGTGCCTTAAGGGCTTAACAAGTTCTCTAATGAGGTAAGTCTGCCTCCTAGATACTTGCCTCTAAACTGACTTTTCCACTTACTGATGTCTACAGAGAATTTGTAACTTACATCCAACGGACCTGTAAGGCTGAGCCTTTTATATAATGAGTCTAAGCTTCCTCTCTCCCTGATTTACAGATGGGAAAAACTGAGGCCCAGAAAAAAAAATGAAGGCCTGCAGATGCACCCAGTGGATGGTAATGTCTTGAGGTCAAATATACTCTGGGACCAGACGCCAGTTTCAGATCCCAGCGCTGCCACGTGTGAACTATGTGACCTTCACACATGATGTAACTTCTGTGCCTCAGTTTCCCATCTGTAAAATGTGGTAATATATTATCTGCCTCATAAAGTTGCTGTGAGGATCAGTTCCTGGCACAGGGCCAAATGCTAGCTGTTTTTAATATACCTGCTAAGTAAGGTTATAGAATTTTAGAGAAGTTGTATTATCATAAGACATACTCCTCCCAACTTAAAATTTGATTTTGATGAAACTATTTTACCTATATCCTGGGCAAAATGTTAATGTTTGGATTCTTTATTTATTTTTTAGCATTTTTATTTATTTTTTTTTGTTTGCCCTTGCTAGAGTACAATGGCGTCACAGCTGACAGCAACTTCCAACCCCTGGGCTTAGGCGATTCTCTTGCCTCAGCCTCCCAAGTAGCTGGGACTACAGGTGCCCACCACAATGCCCAGTTACTTTTCTTGCAGTTTGGCTGGGGCTGGGTTCGAACACGCCACCCTTGGTATATGGGGCTGGTGCCTACCCACTGAGCCACAGGTGCCGCCCTAATGTTTGGATTCTTTAGTCTGCATCTCACATCACCTTAAGTTATCAACAATTCTTTGCAGGACTTCAGCCCACATGCGGGGAGTGCTGGGTGCCCAGCCAGGATGGGGCAGACACGGGAGGGAGGCCAGAGGAAGGAGCACAGTCTGTTCCCCATGGTGTCACCAGGAAGACAGGATTATAAAAGCAAGAGAGGTTTGCTCTTCATTGGTTAGGCCATTCTCTCATTTACACATTCATTCTCTGGTTTTCACACACCAGGCATTTATTGAGTACTCACTGCCAGCTAGATAAGAGCACAGAAGATGTAGAGTTACAGATGTGCTGGTCTGAGGGAGGAGGCCAGTGTGAACCATAAGACCAGAGGGACTTTGCAGAGGAGAATGAAGGATAGTTGAGGAGGAGAAGGGGGTAAGGATGACCAAGGTGGGGGGAAGGTGTGGCAAGCAGGGCCTGAGAGGAGGTCAGTCTGTCAGGGCAAAGGAGGAGAAAATGGATAGAAGGGTGCTGTGTCCCTAAACTGCCCTTTGGGAGGCCTCACCCTCAGACTCCACTCCTAGGGAGAGCCCTCTGTCTCAAGTGATTGGAGACTGAAGTTCTTTTCTGCTCCCACTGCCACCCCTCCACCCCCACCTCACTTAACTCCCTGGTGAGACAGGCCCTCTAGAGACCACTTCCCCTTCTTGGAAGAAGGCAGGGGCTGGCTGCAGGCGGAGATCCAGGGAACCATCCTGCCCTCTGGCAGACCCGCAGGGCTGTGCAAAGAAAGACAGGCCTGGTCGCCTCCCTCCCCCACCTGGCTCCCTCATCCACTGTGACTTCTGAGGACCTGGGAGAGCTGAGCTGTTGTCCTAGTTCCTGGCAGGGGCTGGTCTCAAGGGAGGGCTCACTTGGCTCCTACCTCAGGACAGCAGCTGACATTGGCTGTCAAAGCTGTTGCCTGCTCTTGGGTTCTAAATCCGGGACCAGCTCAGACCCTGGTCTCTTCACGGGGTGGGGAGCTTTCTAAGGAGTGGCTCTGACTACACTTTTCCCTACATCCTTCTGTTCTTTGGGGAAAAGCCCAAACCGCTTTCCTGACATTCAAGGCACCTGCCAGGCCCTCCAGCCTTATCTGAAGTATCTCAGCTCCGTTCCACTTCACCCCTCATCCTCACTCCTTCCTCTCTCATCAGACTATTCCCAAGACACAGACACTGCCACATAGCCACTGGCAGCTGGAGATCCAGACCCCTCTACAGTCACCCCATCTCTGTTGCTCCCCTCATACAAAGTACCATTCAACCCACCTCCGTTGTCAGAGCTCTCTGCCCATCAGACTCCAGATCCCAGCTGCATGGAATCCCTTCCTCTGGACCTCCCAACTTTGTGTACCTCCTTTAGGTCAGCCCTGGACCCAGCCTGCCTGCCCAAAGTCACAGTTCCCTGTGTCCAGGTGTCTCTACCCCACCTGCACTGGCCCATGGTCCCGGGATACACTCACATGCAGCCTCCTGGCCTGTCCCTGCAGCACGTTGATGGTCCCAAGTATGTTCAGGCACAGGGAGGCCAGACCTGAGGCTCTCCCTCTCTGGCTCTCAGCTAGGCTGCAACACCTCCGATGGGGTAGGCAGCTTCCTCTGTTTCCTGGCAGGGCTGTCTCTGACTGAGAGAGCTCCTGTGGGGGCCACCACCTCCTAACATCATGCGGAAACTGGGCCTAGAGAAGCAAAGAGGCGGAGAAAAGGCATCCTTCCTGGAACTCTCCTCCACCCTAGCAGGGGAAAGAGGGGGATAAGGGGGAAAGTCTAAAGAGAGAGGTGGGGGAGGACCAGAGGCTGCCTGTCAAAGGCCAGTTCCACAGACTAGCAGTTTTCTTTCTCCTCTGCCCTCCCTCAGTCTTCTCATCTGCCAAATGGGCAGGGTGGTGTGTCTACTTATCTTCCCAGTCATTTACTTCTTCATCCAGCCTACCCTTCTCATTCATTCAGTGGCTCATTCACAGGCATGTCCATCCACCCAACTGTACGTGACAGACCACTGTTCCCTCTCTCCTCCTCTCTTTTTATTTTATTTTATTTTTTGAGACAGAATCTCACTGTGTTGCCCCAGGCTAGAGTATCATGGAGTCAGCCTAGCTCACAGCAACCTCAAACTCCTGAGTTCAAGTGATCCTTCTTCCTCACCCTCCTGAGTAGCTGAGTGCCCACCATGTCTGGCTAATTTTTGGTATTTTTAGTAGAGATAGTGTCTTGCTGTTGCTCAGATGGCTCTTGAACTCCTGAGCCTAAGGAATCTGCCTGCCTCGGCCTCCCCCATGCTAGGATTATAGGCATGAGCCACTGTGCCTGGCCTTCTTTTCTCTACAAACATTTCTTAAGCACTTAGTATCTGTTTACTCACATTCTCCCAGTTAGCGATCACAGTCCCTTCTGTGCAGTGGGCCCTAAGCTCCCAAGGGGGGGAGGGTGTGTACAATGGACATAGAAGTTACACCCTCACCTAAGTGGGATCTTCCTGTTTGTCCCTAGCCCTTCCTCACCACCACACTGGCCTCCGAGCTTAAGAAGCTAGAGGAGGAGGTGTGGCTCCTCATTGTCCCCTGGCTCCAGGGG